AGGCTGAGGCTGGAGAATCTCTTGAGCCCAGGAATTCAAGGCCAGCCTGGGCCACACAGTGAGACCCTGTCTAAAAAAGAACCACCAAAAAAAAACAAAACAAAACTTTATCTTATTAAAAAACAAGAACATAAAGATTAAAATTAGGCTGGGCTCGGTGGCTCACACCTGAATTCCCAGCACGTTGGGAGGCAGAGGCGGGTGGATCACGAGGTCAGGAGTTCAAGACCAGCCTGGCCTAGACGGTGGCGGAAGCCTGTAATCCCAGCTACTCAGGAGGCTGAAGCAGAAAGAATTGCTTAAACCCAGGAGGTGGAGGTTGCAGTGAGCCAAGATTGCACCACTGCACTCTATCCTGGGTGACAGAGCAAGACTATCTCAAAAAAAAAAAAAAAAAAAAAAAAAAAAAAAATTAAAGAAAACCTTGGCCAGGCACAGTGGCTCATGCATATAATCCCAGCACCTTTGGAGTCTGAGGCCAAAGGAACACTTGAGGCCAGAAATTTGAAGCCCTGTCTCTACAAAAAATACAAAACCCCCAAATTAGCTGGGTGGAGTGGTGCACACCTATATTCTTAAGATACTCTGGGGACTGAAGTGAGAGGATTGATTGAGCCCAGGAGTTTGAGGCTGCAATGAACTATGATCTTGCCACTGCACTCCTGCCTGGACAACAGAACAAGACCCTATCTTAAAAAAAAAAAAAAAAAAAAAGGCCCTGGTGCATAAAGGAAAATGTTTCTGTTTTGATTCAGTTTTGATGTATTTATGTATGACAGATGTGGTGGAACACCTATTACCCAACAATGCTTGAAGGATGAAATTCTTGTCACATCTACCTAGAACTTACCTAGAGATAGACAGCCTTGGATAATGACAATTCCTTAGTTTGTAACTCAAGTTGCTTTTGCCTAAATTACTGTATTTGATTTTCGTTGAGACAGGGTCTTGCTCTGTTGCCCAGGCTAGAATGCAGTGGCACAATCAGGACTCACTGCATCCTTGACCTCCTGGGCTCAAGGGATCCTCCTGCCTCAGTCTCCCAGGTAGCTGGGACTACAGGTGCGTGCCACCGCACCCAGCTAATTTTTAAATTTGTTTTAGTAGAGACAGAGTCTCACCATGTTGCCCAGGCTGATCTCAAACTCCTGAGCTCAAGCAATCCACCCGCTTCAGCCTCCCAAAGTGCTAGGATTACAGGCGTGAGCCACCACACCCAGCCAAAGCAAACTTTTCATTTGAAGTATAACATACAAACAGAAAAGTAAACAAATCCTAAGTATATAACAAGTTTTCAGAAAGTGAACTAATCTATATAACTAGCATCAAGAAGGTCAAGATAAAAGGCCCGGCATGCTGGCTCATGTCTGTAGTCCCAGAACTTTGGGAGGCTGAGCCTAGGAGTTCAAGACCAGCCTGAGCAACATGATGAAACCCCATCTCTACCAAAATACAAAAATTAGCTGGATGTGGTGGTGCATGCCTGTAGACCCAGCTACTTGGGGCACTGAAGTGGAAGGATCAACTGAGCCCAGGAGGTTGAGGCTGCATTGCGGCCTGGGTGACAGAGTAAGACCCTGTCTCAAAAAAAGAGAAAAAGAAAAAAATATATAACCATCACCGTAGGTGCTTCTTATGATCTCCTCCACCCTATCATCATAGCTAACCACGATCCTGCCACTTAACATCATAGTTTTGTCACCTGGACTTCATATGCAAGAAACTTCATTTTAGAGAAGGTGACAGAAAAGTCACAGGGTTGGTGGCTGGTGGAGGCAGCAGGGCTGGGACTCTGCCTTTAGTTGGATACATGTGTTTTCATCACAGAAGTCTCAGTGTTCCAGTGGGGTGTGATGGCGCCATCATCCATCTGCAGATGGAGGAAAGTGAGGAGGAAAAATAGAGGTTGGGAGGTGTGGGGCACAGGTTAGCAGGAGGGGAACAGAAGATGCAGCCAGGGGAACTTGTGAAGTACTAGACTGGTTTCCCAACGCTCTGCACAGGGATCCTGGAGTAAATCCCAAGGATCTCCTCCCTGGCCCATCGCCCCACTGCCACCGTCTCTTTGGCTAATTTTAGATTTAGGGACTAGAGCGATGGGATTAGAGTGGTTGGTACGCCCAATGTGTAGGGACAACGTGTTGTAATAACTTCACTCAGAAGCCAATGCCTTACACTGGCTCTGTGGACACTCACAGGGGGAACAAAACTTGCTTTGTTTGTGGATAACTATGTCACAGTCAGTAGCCCTAAACTTGGTGTGGGCATTTTATTTCTTGAGCTGAGGCTCTACTACTTGATTATGGCTGAGACACTTTTAACTCCTCCCCCAACACCAAGACAGTCTTGCTCTGTTGCCCAGGCTGGAGTGCAGTGGAGTGATCTTGGCTCACTGCAACTTCTGCCTCCCAGGTTCAAGCAATTCTCCTGCCTCAGCCTCCCATGTAGCTGGGATTACAGGTTCACCCCACCACACCGGCTAGTTTTTGTATTTTTAGTAGAGACAGGGTTTCAGCATGTTGGCTAGGCTGGTCTTGAACTCCTGACCTTGTGAACCAGCTGCCTTGGCCTCACAAAGTGTTGGGATTACAGGCATGAGCCACTGTGGCTGGTCAAGATACTTTTAACTCTTTGAGCCTCAGTCTCATCACCAAATAAGAATGTTAACTAGTACCAAGGCTTTTGTGAGGATCAAATGAGGTAGTGGACTTGAAAGCCCTCTGTCAACTGTATTTGGGTTTGTTTTTTGACACAGTCTTGCTCTGTCACCCAAGCTGGAGTACAGTGGCACAATCACGGCTCACTGCAGCCTCAAACTCCCAGGCTCATGCAATCCTCCCACCTCAGCCTCCTGAGTAGCTGGAACTATAGGTGTATGCCACCATGCCTGGCTAATTTTTTATAGAGATGGGCTTTTGCCATGTTGCTCAGGCTGGTCTCACATCCTGAGTTGACAGTGATCTGCCCGCTTTAACGTCCCAAAGTGCTGGGATTACAGGTGTGAGCCACAGCACCCATCACCTTTGTCAAGAGTAAAATGCTATTTACATGAAAGACTTTACTGACACTAAACATGAACCAGACTTCCCGACAAAGTTATCAGTCTGTTTTGTTTTGTTTTGTTTTGTTTTTGAGACAGAGTTTCACTCTTGTTGCCCAGGCTGGAATGCAATGGTGTGATCTTAGCTCACCGCAACCTCCGCCTCCCAGGTTCAAGGGATTCTCCAAGTAGCTGGGATTACAGGCACCCACCACCATGCCCAGCTAATTTTGTATTTTTTTTTAGTACAGACGGGGTTTCACCATGTTGGTCAGGCTAGTCTCCACTTCTGACCTCAGGTGATCCACCCACCTTGGCCTCCCAAAGTGCTGGGATTACAGGTGTGAGCCGCCGCACCTGGCTATTACTCTACTTTTAAACAAGAACTACCTGCTTCTTTGATAGAGACCAGGTGTCAGGGAGGAGACCTGAGGATCAAGTAGTAGCAGGCTGCAGACAGGCTAGGAATAACAAGGCAGGAGCCACACCAAGAGCAAAGCCTCAGTTCCCAACCCTGGTGAAACTGCTCCCCTCCAAGATCAGACCATCCAGACCCTTGCTCTATCAGCTACCAGTTCTTTCTAGGGCTGGAGGCTGCATTATCAGTGCACTGCCACTGAGCTCCTCAGTGTTCCGGGAGACCCTAACTCCGTAGCATGTGGTGAGGAGGGAGCAGAGAGTGAGGCCCGGGCAGGCAAGGGGAAGGCAGTGTGGCTACTATTCCCAGTCTCTGTCTGACTCGTGTCTGTCCTTGTTGAGCTAGGGAGGAGGCTTGCTTTTTCTGATGGAGAGAAGCCAAACTACTGAGCAAGACAAGGAGAGAGCTTAAGACGCTGTGCAGAGAACTTCGGCAGCAGAATGGGGCTGAAACTCTGACAGACACAATGGGCCAATGGGCAGGACATAACTCTCATGGCCACGGAACGGAACGCAAGGCAGGGGTACCTGTACCGCCCACTCCCAGGGAGCTCTGAACCAAGTCCTTGGGTTAGTTTCTTTGGGCTCCCAGTAGGGGATGGGACTCCAGTACATTTCTGCCTGTCTGGGTTGCTGAGTAGCACCACCTGCATGTTCAAGTACCAGAGAAAGCAAAAAAGCCAATTCAGCAGCAGCTCCCGGGCAGAGCCCACTTGGCACAGTCTGTAGAATCCAGGAAGGAAAACAGGCCACCCTTCCCCCACAAGCATCAATGCCTATGCTATGTCTTTTGCTTCCTGTGAGACTGTCAGTTAGGACCCAGTTCAGTGTGGGGCTGAGGCAGCCCGAGTGTGGTTATTTGTGCAAGCTGCTCTTGCCTCCCCTCCCCACAACTGTTTCCATTCTCACCAAGCAGCCACGTCCGGGTCAGACACCCAGGACAGCAGCTGGGACTTTCCAAGGGACTTTTTGAGAAGCTAGTGAAAGTTGGGTGTTGGCTGCACAGCCTAGGCTTTCTTGCCGAAACCCACTTCTTTCCTGCAGGATGTAAGCTCTAGCCTGGCAGGGTTGCTTTCAAGTTGAAGGTGAACAGAAATCACCACCCAGGGACCTTTCGCAGTTTGCTGGGCTGGGGAAATCCTTGAGAAACTCAGTTTGGAGTTGGGGTTATCCAACCATTCCCTCAGAGCTTGAAGGCACCAGAGAAAATGGTTTTGGTTTGAAGAGCCCAGCCAGTCCCAGTTTCCCTCCCATAGGCCTATGTGAGGACAAGGAAGGGGCAGGTCAGCACTCTGCTCCTTCCCACACACTCCAGGCCACAGGTAACAAGCAAAATCAACTCAAGAGCAACACCAGGTGGCTGAGACACAAAGCCCTAGCACAGGCAGCTCTGCTCACTCACGGCTCACCCTGCAGTTATGGTTCTCGGCATTTCCCCTGCTGTTTTGGCAGATCGTGCACATATTCCATGTATTGAAAAATGGCCCAAAAAGGAGAACAAAAGGATTTCACCTTTCTAATACTTACGTGAAAATTATGTGAATAATTTTCACATAGCTTCGTTTCTACAATCACAACAATCCTGAGGTAAACAGGCAGGGTGTAATCATTCTCTTCTTACAGAGGGAGAACAAGGAACTCAGGGAAATAAAAATAGGGACACTGACAGGACTTCTGTGGAAATTTAAGTAAATGAGAATTTGTGGTAAGTTTTTTTTATCCTAAAACAAGTAACTCCCCCTGGCCCAAAAAATGGGGTATTACCCAAGGTCCCTCACTTGGCTGGAGGAGAAAAGGACTACCTCCTAGAGGGGCACAAACAAGACAGACTAGGACCCAGCAGTCACCCAAGGCCCAAGGGCCTCCAGTTAGGAAAATGTAAAATGTGAGTACATGAGACTGGCCTAAGGTATACGAAGAGCAGTAAAGAGAATAAAACAGATGAGCAGTGAGGGAAAAGAATTATTAAACATGAAGCCTCAGGATTTCTTCAAGGAATACTGCTGTGCCAGGTCTCAAGGGCAGGACGATACAGGCACGAGACACCAGGGCCACCAAGCTGATGGGGTTACCGAGCCTCTGGACAGCACCTTCTGATAGGAGGCAAGGAAGCACACTAGAAAGGCTGCAATCCTGGGCTGAGACAGTCAAGTGGGAGTAGAAAGGCCTCTGCTGCTCTGGGAAGGTTCTTACAGGGCAAATAAGCTCTTACTGTGCCTAACGGAACAGAAGAGGGAGGCAAGGCAGTTGTCATGTCCTTAAGAACTTTCTAGAGGTTCATATTTATTGATATTTAACCTACAGTCCTCAGCATGGGCAAGGTGCAGCCCTGGGCCATGGGTAGGAAAATCAGCATCCTACTCTCTCCTCAATTCCATCTGTTAATCCACCAACCTAAATCCCTCCCACCCCCACCTGTAGTCCAAGGAAGAAAAAATGATAGAACGATGTGCTGCTTTCTCAACAGTCGGCTGAGTCTGAATTGGAGGGTAGGAAGTATTTGAAGTTCTGCCCACTTAGTTCCAGAACAAAAAATAAGGAGAGGCAGGAGGTGGAGAGCGAAGACGCTGGCGGCCCTGCATCTTGCTAGGTCTTTATAGCTGTGTCTCTGGATTTGTAGGCCACTCCTCGACTTTTCAGCTCCCGCACGATTCCTGTGGCAGGAAAATAAACAGCTCTGTAAGGGAAGATTCAGAAGGATAAGATAGGCCACTTAGCTGCCATCCTGAGGGGGTACTATAAGCAAACTGAAGTTCCTAGACTACTTATCAATAGTCCTGCTTGGCCAGGCATGATGGCTCATACCTGTAATCTCAGCACTTTGGGAGGTCACCGTGGGAGGATCACTTGAGGCCAGGAGTTCAAGACCAGCCTGGGCTACAGAGCAAGGCACCATCTCTACAAAATTTTTTTTTTTTTTTTTTTTTTTTTGAAACGGAGTTTCACTCTTGTTACCCAGACTGGAGTGCAATGGCGCGATCTCGGCTCACCGCAACCTCCGCCTCCTGGGTTCAAGCAATTCTCCTGCCTCAGCCTCCCGAGTAGCTGGGATTACAGGCACGCGCCACCATACCCAGCTAATTTTCGTATTTTTAGTAGAGACGAGGTTTCACCTTGTTGACCAGGATGGTCTCGATCTCTTGACCTCGTGATCCACCCGCCTCGGCCTCCCAAAGTGCTGGGATTACAGGCTTGAGTCACTGCGCCCGGCCTTTTTTTAAAAATTAGCCAGGCATAGTGGCTGGCACCTGTAGTTCCAGCTATTTGGGAGGCTGAGGTGGAAGGATCCCTTGAGTCTATGAGTTCAAGGCTGCAGTGAGCTACGATCACGCCACTATACTTCAGCCTGGGTAACAGAGTGAGACCCTGTCTCAAAAAAAAAAAAAAAAAAAAAGTCCTGCTTAGTTGGCTTGTTACCAGTGAAGACCTGGGCAAGTGTTTGGTAAGAATGAGAAGAAAAAGAGGGATACATGTAGTCATCAAAAGCAAAGGCCAGGGACCTGTAGTCCAGCTACTCAGGAGGCGGAGGTGGGAGGAGCGCATGAGCCCAGGAGTTAAAAGAGTCCAGCCTGGGCAACACAGTGAAACCCTGTCTCTAAAAAATTTAAAACCTGAAACAGCAAAAATTCTGGAGCCGCAATGCCTGGATTCCAATCCTGCCTCCTCATTTACCAGCTGGGTGACCTCCGGGAAGTGATTTAACCTCTCTGTGCCTGGTTCCCTCATCTGTAAAATGCTGAGCCTCACAGAGTTGTAAGAATTGGCATTCATTCAGATAAAAAACTTCCACAGATCTTTACAGTAAAGGAACATAGACTATTATTATTATAATTACCTTGGGGCAGGCGACCAGTGACTGACACTGCATATACACCTGGCTTAAAGTTACCTGAGAGAGAAGAAAAAAAGATACGAGATTATAGGGAAGTGAGTTAAATGAAGACCAAATGGAAGCTTAAGCTAAACATTAAAGACGTGATGCAACTCCAAGAGAAGCGCTCTCCCTTCTTTTGGCTACAAGTGTGAAGTGACAAGGCATAGGACACTGCTTCCTTATCTTTCCTACAACCTGACCTTCCCCACCCTGAGGTCACTCACCAGCGCTGATTTCAGACTCCCTAATGGACCTGAGGAACAGTAACAACACAACAACTAAGCCAAAGGCAAAGGGCGACACTTACTGACTCGCTGCCACTTGGAGACCCAGCTGTCCTCTGGACTCATCATCGCAATGATTCTAGGGCGGGAAAAGAAAGGGAGAGTCAGCCTGAGCCTCCCCTGAGCCTGAGCTCAGTTCTGGGATAGGAATCCAGGAAAAAAGCCAAGTATTGAGTCTCCACTGGAAAGCAGGGAAAACTGCTTTCTGATGCTGCTATGAGGCTGACTCAAAGCTAGGACTGACAAAAGTTCTTCGTTCTCATGTCCTTGGCCTGCCAGCCACTGGTCCGTTTCCATCCCAAAAGATTATCTCACTCGGCTCACGATTAGCCTACAGATTCCCTAGAAAATGAGACAGTTTTAGGACTGGAGGGCTAATACTACTGGTTAAAACTACACAACTACAAGGGGTCTAGGGCCTAGTGCAAAGAGAAGGGTGAGAAACAATGGATCCTCCTACCAGAAATGAGTTCAACTTGGCCAAGCTCTTCCTCTAATGATCTATACATATGGGGACCTTTCTCAGAACCTCATCAGTAAGCTGAGACTCAAAGGTTGAGATAATACATGAAAAACACCAGCACAAAGACAAGCACAGAGTAGGCGCTAAATAAGCATTAGCTCTCCTCATTATCCTAATAGTCCTTCCTTGGTAGCTGATTCCAGAGGAATGGTAGGGCTCTTCAAGGGCTAGAAGATGCTGATTGAGCAAGATGGGTAAGCATTTTTGTCATTCAATGCATTCAACCAAATGATTACTGATTGCCTATTGTGTTGTCTAAGCGCTGACATTTGATGGCTGCCTCCTCAATATACCTACCCTCTTCTCTCAGTAACAATCTTGGATTCTTATTTGAGAAGATTCCCTTCCCATCCAAATCCTACATTCTCAGGCATGCACTGTAAATGGAAGGGACCCTACCTCCAGAGGTGACAAGCAGAACACTAGCCCCTAACCCTGCAGACTGATCTGAGATAGGCATGTATGCAGGCCATCCTCCTGACCACAAGTATATTCTTCTCTGTCCTTCACAATCTTTTTTTTTAGCCTTAGGGTCCCTATAGCCCAACCTTATGATTTAACCTAAACAGAATTCCCACCGTTCTCCAAACATATGCTGGTGTTCCCCATCCTATGCCTTTGCTCTTGTCACTCCCTTTATTTGGAATGTTCTCGCTCTCACCTCAACTTCCTAAAGAATCCCAAACTTCTTAAGAGGAAAGTACTACCTCTTCCAATTTTGGCTGAGGTCAAATAGCCCTCCTCTGATCTTTAATTTGCCCACTCTTTAAGGCCTAATATACACTAGAATATACAAATAATTCCTACAACTCAACAAAAACAACAAAAAACAACTGAAGTCAAAAATGAGCAAAGGCTGTGAATAGGCATTTCTCCAAAGCTATACAAATGGCTATAACCACATGAGAAGAGGCTCAACATCACCATTCACTGGCGAAATGGGACACCAGAGTCACACCCATTAGGATAGCTATTACTAGTAAATAACAAGTGCTGGTGAGGATGGGGAGAAATTAGAACCTTTGGACACTGTTGGTGGGAGGAGAAAATGGTGCAGTTGCTAAACAGCATGACAGTTCCTCAAAAAGCGAAACACTGAATTATCATATGATCTAGCAATTTCACTTCTGGATATACAGATGATCTCTGACTTACCATAATTCAACTGAAGATTTTTCAAATTTATGATGGTGCAGAGTGACATGCATTCAGTAGAAATCATTTTCAAATTTTAAATTTTGTTCTTTTCCAGGCTAGCAATTCAGTACAATATTCCATTATGATGCTGCACAGCAGCAGTGAGCCGCAGCTTCTGGTCAGCCACAGTAACATAAGTGTTCTGAGCACAGTTGAAGTAGGCTAAGCTATGTTCAGTAGGTTAGGTGTGGTAAATGCACTTCTGGCTTATATTTTCAACTTATAATGGGCTTATTAGGTTGTAACCCTAAGTTGAGGAGCATCTGTACTGAAAATAATGAAAAGCAGGAACTTGAACACATACTTGTATACCAATGTTCACAGCAGCATTATTCACAAATAGCCAAAAGGGAGAAGCAACCCAAGATATCATTGATGGATGAATGGGCAACAGAACATGGTATACACACATACAAAGGAATGTTATTCAGCTCAAAAAAGGAGGGAAATTCTGTTGCATGCTACAAGATGAATGAACCTTGAAGACATTACGCAAGGTGAAAGCAGCCACAAAATGCCACTAAACGAACCCACAGGCACCTAAGGAAAAGGTATCTAAAGTGGTCAAATTCATAGAGACAAAGCATGGTGGTTGTCAGGAACAGGCGGGAGGAAAGAATGAGGAGCTAGTGTTTAATGGGGACAGATGAAAAAAGTTCTGGAGATGGACAGTGGTGATGGCTGCACAACAATGGGTACGCACTAATGCCACTGAATTGTATATTTTAAAATGGTGCTGGGCATGGAGGCTCACATCTGTAATCCCAGCACTTTGGGAGGCTGAGGCGGGCAGATCACCTGCGGTCAGGAGTCCGAGACCAGCCTGGCCAGCATGGTGAAAACTCGTCTCTACTAGAAAGTACAAAAATTAGCTCAGCGTGGGGGCGGGCACCTGTAATCCCAGCTACTCAGGAGGCTGAGGCAGAGAATTGCTTGAATCTGGGAGGCGGAGGTTGCAATGAGCGGAGATTGTGCCACTGCACTCCGGCCTGGGCAACAGAGGGAGACTCCATCTCAAAAAAAAAAAAAAATAATAAAAGTAAATAAATAAATAAAATGGCTAAAATGGTAAACTTTTTATGTTTATCTTAGCACAATTAAAAAAAAAACCAACCTCAATATGGAAAACTTCAGTGTCTCTCTTACTAGTAATTATCTCATTGTGTAACTCTTGACATCTCTCATAGCAACTACTTTACCCATAGATCAGAGTCCCTTCATTCAATTGTTAGCGCTGATTGGTACTGTGCTAACAAATGAACAAAGGGACCTAAGTATCTGAGTATGCATATGCATGTGTAGAAGCAAAGGCTCCAAGCCAACATCTCTTTTGCCCAGTCTTTTATTCCTCCCTTAAGGAAATCATAGAAGGAATGGTGTTGGCCCATCTTGAAAGAACTTTATCAAGTACTGGGTTTGAGCCCAGTTTGTGTAAAACCCTTAATTGGCCTAGAGGCCAAAAGAAGTTTAATATTACCTCCTTAACCCCTAAAGACTACAGTCTTCTGGCTCCAACGTTAGGGAAGAAGTGAGACCTGACTACTTAAGTTTCTCTCCTTTCTTCTTCTCCCCACTGTACAATCTTGCCAAGGTAAACTATTCCTATAGGGCCTCTTAGGGATATCTAAAAAGCAACAGCTTTTGGCTGGGCATGGTGACTCATGCCTGTAATCCCAGCACTTTGGGAGGCCAAGGTGAGTGGATCACCTGAGGTCAGGAGTTCAAGACCAGCTGGCCAACATGGTGAAACCCAGTCTCTGCTGAAAAAGTACAAAAATTAGCTGGGCATGGTGGTGAGCGCCTGTAATCCCAGCTACTCAGGAGCCTGAGGTAGGAGAATCGCTTGAACCTGGGAGGTGGAGGTCGCAGTGAGCCAAGATCGCGCCATTGCCCTCCAGCCTGAGCAACAATAGTGAAACTCCATCTCAAGAAAAGAAAAAAAAAAGGCAACAGCTTTTGGGCAATGATCTACCATTACTGTACCTTCCCGCTTCCCTTCATTTTCAAAAAAAAAATTTCATGCATTCAACAAACAGATTACATTCTTTCTTCTCATGTTAAGTCTTTGAAATCTGGGGTACATTTTATACTTAAAAGCACGTCCTAATTTGGACTAGACACATTTCAAGTGCTCAGTAGCTACATGTGGCTAGTGGTTACTGTATTAGATGCATAGCACTAGTGTATCTCAAAATAACTGTTGAGGCTGGACGCAGTGGCTTACACCTATAATTCCAGCACTTTGGGAGGCTGAAGTGGCAGGATCGCTCAAGGCTGTGGTAAGCTATGATCATACCACTTCACTCCAGCCTGACCCATAGAGAGAAACGCTGTCTCAAAAAAAAAACAAAAACCCACAAAATAACCCTCCAAAACAAAAAACGAACAGTTGGGACCAACTAGGATTAATACTTGCCCAGCATTTACTTCTCTGGGTAGGGTGGGATAATGCCGAAGAAATGATAGAATCTGAAGCGGCTTACCCATCAAAGGAAGAGCTGGTGCAGTCGTATACCATCTCCCGGTTACCCTTCATTTGTAGATATGCATCACAATTGTCACAACCATCATATTCAAACTGGTCTATAGTCTGGGAGTGAAGAAAAATAAAGGAAAAGAAGAAATAAGCATAAACAAGACAAAAGAAAAAGTTGCTTTCTCAATACTTCACCTGCTCAATTTCTTGTTTCCCTATGTTGACTGTGTTTCCTCTGGTTCCCCACCTACTACTCCCGAAGCTCCATTCCTAGGTCCCACCCTTCCACTCCTTCCTCTCTTGTTCCCAATTCCGTTTTATCTATTCCTTTCTCTAGTCTCCTCAGGGTCAGGCACCCTTTCCAACTACTCACTCAGCTGCAGATCCCCACGGGCCTCTGACCACCAGTGTCTTTCGGCTCCAACGTAAGTCCACCGAACGTCTAAGAGCTGAGGATTCAAAGCAGCCCCAGCTGCAAGACCTGCCCGCGACCCTACGAGGTAAACAATGGCCTCCTTCGGCTTCTCCTCCCGCTGCCACCTCTGAGTCCTGGACCCTACTTTTCTCTTTACTGTCCCACAGCCCCGTTCCGCCCTCATTCCCCCATCTTGGTCCCCCATGGACCCTACAACCAGGCCCCCGACTGACACCTTGACCAGTGAACACAGCAAACAGGCACGCAGATGCCGCAGGTCCTTTGGCACGGTCTCCAGGGCCATCTTCTCCGATGGGAAGAGCAACAGAGATGAAGACAGCCACAGCCTACACACCCGCAGGAAGTAAACAGCTCGTTACCCAGAATGCCGGCCACTTCTGGTGCTTAGACTTCCTCTTCCGGCGTGGGCGGGAGCCGGCTCCGCCCCTACCCCCGGCCAGATGAGATGGTTTCTCCCACCTGCAAGCGGGGAGGCGGGGCGGCCGGCTGCCACCTAGGCCGGGGCGCGTCCTCGCCACCTGGGCCCGCGGAGGGTGAGGCGGAGGCGGTGCAGGGTAGTCGGCGGGTCCCCGGGGGGCGGCGCGGGCGGCCGTGCCTGCGCGGGAGTGCGTCGGCCTGAGCCGCAGCGCCGCGACGCGGGCCGTTTGATCTGTGCTGCTGGCATGGGGCTCCCGTCGCGTTCCCCGAGGGTAGCCCGAAGTGTTGTTTTTGTTTTTTGGTCTTCTCGTTTTAGAAGCATTGGGGCAGTGAATCCAGTGTCTCCCTCTGGATTATCTCTGCAGAGACCCAGGACAAATCCGGGGACAGCCCCACCCCTCCTTCCTAACTGCGAGAGCGCTGTAGGGTTTCCACGTGCCTCCCGCAGGAATGCTGGCTGGGTAGCTACAGGGGAAAAAAATGCGTATTTATCTTTTAAAACTATATGTCTGTTTGCTCGTTCCGGCTGATAATTTATAGTTTGCGCAGTTCTTAGTACTTAGACAACGGTTCCTTTACTAAAGAATATTTGTAGATTAGTGTCCTTTTTTCCCCTTTCATTTCACGTATAGGAAGCAAAATGCCTTGTTCTATGCCACCACACCACCACCACCCCTACCAAACCTTTCTCAGGGAAGCAGAAGGGGCACTTGTGCCGTGTGAGGAAGCGACAGAGGCCCCTCCTGCTCCTGGAGACTTCAGGCCAACGGAGCACCAGCTCTCTTCGTCCTCGCAATGGCCCGAGTGCAGGCAAAACACAGTCATTTGTATTTATCTGAAAGGAGCTTTGGGATATAAATAGTTTCAGGCCCCGCTGCTCTGTCCTTCCAGGCCAGCCTCCTGATTGAAACTGAGCTGCTTCCGGGTAGGCTTGCTTCTTGTTGCCGGTCCCATGCTGTGTTCAGATGGGCTCTGTGACAGGTTTGGATGTTTTCTATCACTGAATAAAACTTTCCACTTTGGAACATGTTTTCTACTCTCTGCTATCTCACCTAAGTCCTGCAGCAACTATGAAGTAGGCCCATTTTATGGACTGAAAAAGCGAGGCACAGAGTATTTGCCCAAAGTCACAAAGTCAAGTCACCGAAGCATCATAATGTGTGAAGTGAACAGTGTAATTATATGACTGAATCACAGTGAGAATCCAGTCACGCTTTCTCTTTCCCTAATCTCACTAAGCCACACTTTTAGGGGCTTACAAACCATTTCTTATTGCCAAGCCCTCTACTCTCCCCTATTCTTTGATAAATCGGAGCCTAGCCTCTGATAACAGAAATAATTTATTTCTTTTGATGTAGAAAGAGATGAAGTTGTTACCGAGTGACGGTCACGACAGAACAAAACCACAAGACCAGACCACATTTGTGGATAAATATATTAGCAAATAAATACATTTCTCAACGTAGTGCCTGATTCAAGCGTCTTTCTGTCTGTTTCAGATATAAATACCCATGTGGGTACCTAGGTGCTAGTCTCCCCACTAACAGGGAAGAAGGTTCCCAGGTGGGGTCCTGTGCCCACTTTGTCCCCACATTCACGTTCCAAATGGGATAATGCCTGAGGGGCCAACAGTGGTCAGGCTGCCCTGGGGTGAATGTCACCCTGCAGAGGCCCCTCAGCCCGTGTCCACTCTGTGTAAGTGGCCTAGGCCAGACTTGTGCTCTAATCCACTCTCCTGTGGGTCCCTGGCCTGCATGGCTTATACTGGGGAGCTGGGCTTCTGGGCCCTCCAAACCTAAGGGTCACACTTTGCTTTTCCTTTGTTCTCCCCCATTCTCCATCCCTGCTCTGAGACAAAACTTCTCCCAGAGAACTCTTTGTTGTCCCTGCTCAGCTGTGATTCTGCCTTTTCTACCTTCATTCCATCCTTCCTCCCTCTGCCCAGATCAAGTGCAGCAGAAATTCTCTCCTTTCCACCTGCTCTGGGATTCTGAGACAGGAAATCTTCAAAGAGGAGTTTTTCCCTCTCCAATATTCTTACTCTAAACCCCCAGAGGAGCTAAGGCTGCTGAAGCAAGAAGGGTTCTTCTGCAGTACCCCGCTCGGGGACAGAACTACACACTAGAATGGGAAAGCTTCAGGGACCCCTCCTCTTAGTGCTCAGGGCTTACCTATGCTCCTGGTCCTTTTGGCAAAAAAGGAATTATAGAGCCTAGGTTGCCCCTGATGTAGCAGCCTTACTGTGGAGGGGCCAAAGCTGGTGTGCAGAGCTCACCTGAGAAGGGAGGTGATAAGGCGTCATGTATTCTGCTGAACCCAATGGCTGGTGTGAACATGAGGCCTGGGGTGACGGAGATCTGGTAGGGATCGGGGAAGGAGCAGCACCTTTGTAACACCTGGCTACCCATAGCTAGCTTTCTGCCCTCAAAAAACTCAGCCTTCAAGGGATCCAGCCCACACACGCCACAGGCAGGAGCTGGCTGCCTGGCTGGACACGGACTTGCTGCACTGCAGGTGTGTTCTGCAGACAAGGTCTGGAGCTGGAGCAGGAAACAGCACCCTCCTGCCCTCCACCACCACCAATCCTCTTCCAGTGCTTCTAGGAAGTATGGCAAAAAGACTGGTGTTTGCTATGGTCCTTTCTTCTCCCTGGAGCAGGACTCTGTGCCAGGCAGGGCCCAGACTCATCTGGAGCACACTCTTAGTTGGAGCTTGGCCTGAACATCTCACACAGCCTGTTCACACAGCTCCTCGAGTTCCTCCTCTGAGCCTGTGTTAGAGAGAGAGGAGAGGAAGGAGGTCACTGAGGGTCAGGCCAGGCTTCTGCTTCTCTCACCTGCAAGAGAGTGTGGCTGGGAGGGGACTACAGGGAGGGAGGAGCAGAAACTATGTCTGGAAAGGGTGGTTAGATTGAAAGCTAAGGGAACATAGGGGAGAGAAAAACAAATCTAAGGAAATATATATAGCAACCAATGTGTTACTAATACTTGCTATTATTCACCCAATAAATATTAAGCATTAGTTGTGAATTTAGTCTGCTACCATATGCCAAATAGAAGACCAAAAAGAATAAGCAGGGACCTGGTAACGTTTTTGGAGAGAAAGTATGAAAGCAAATGGCCCTTACGCTAGTGAGACAGGACAGGAGTCATGAGAGATCCATTAAGGAAGGAGACAGACCAGGTCCAAGTGCAGCAATCAGAAAGGCTTCCTGGAAGTGGAGATAAATGAGCTGATTCTGTAGGAATAGGTACGAATTAGATTTATGGGAATAGGGAAGGTAGGAGAATATTCTGGGCTACAGAATGCTTGGCTAAAGCATTGCCTGGAGAAGGGATAGAAGAAAGTAGAAAATAAGGTTGAGAAGGATGATGGGGGCTGGCTGGTGTGGGAAACTTGGAGGCCAAAGCAGACTGGATTTTTCCTCTCTGTGGACAAAACAGAACATCTGAAGATTTCTGGACAGCTTGTAATGCAGATGATGCTGGCAGCAATAGGGAGGGTAGGTGAGCAGGAGAGCAGTGGCACACAACTCTATGGGACATACTGGATGAGCAACACTCAGCCTTCAAGGCCCTGTAAGAGGGAAGGGAAGAGCTAAGAGGCTCCTGCATCGATCTTTAGGCTATACCAAAGACACTGGCAGGGCCAGTACCGGACCTGAGGAGAACATGCATGACAAAGCTAGCCAAGATACAGTTAACAGAACCTGGCACTGATTAGATGTGAGAGGCAAGGAAAAGAGAGGCACTGAAAGTAGTTGTGAGTTTGAAAGAAAAGGGAGGTAGTGGTCTGGCACTGGCAGCACTGAGAGTACACACGATAGGGCTGGAACGGAATCACAAACACATAGCCAAAGCTTGCAGCACGTGGCTCTCTCCCCATGGACCAGGATTTCCTGGATGGCAAGTTCCATGTCCTCAGAGCCTAGCTTGGAACCTAGAGCAAAGCAAGCATATAGTCAGAAGGAAAAAAAGGAGGGAAGGAGAGAGGAAGTGAATGAATAAATGAATGAATGGATGAGAGCAGCTCTAGTCCTACATGAAGAATTCCTACACTGAGAAATATTTCAGGACCTTTGGGTCACCTCCTAGGGCAGAAGGGTTCTCCTAGTGATGGCTGTAGACAGAGTCCTGTCATCCATACAATGGGGGAAGATGGGAGAGTGGAAGGTGGAAGATCCTGGATGGGGAAGAGGAGTATGTGGGCAAGTAAATACCATGTTAAAGTTGAGAACTTACATGAGCACCACTTATTATAATATAGGGATGCACTGAATCCCCAAGAAATTGAGGTTGGTCTTATTAATAATGGTGTATGGAAAGGGAGTCCTCTTTGTTCTTTTACCACAGCGGGAGAGAGAAAACCTAAGGCCCCACAGTGCTGCTGGGAACTATCTGTGGTTTCTCTCTCTCGCTCTCCTTTTTTCTCGTTACTCACATATCTCTTCTTGTATAGTCCAGTATTATGGTTATCTGTAATTATTTCTATAAGATCATGTTCTCCCCAGGGAACACTTCTTGGCCTTCTTTGTATTTAGAACTAATACTGAGCTGTAAGCGTTGGTAGAACTAAACCAGTTATTAAAATATAGAAACATTTAAGTTTGAGCTGCTGCCCCAGACCACTCCAAGTACCTTTTTTTATTTTTTGAGATGGAGTCTCGCTTTGTTACCCAGGCTGGAATGCAGTGGTGCCACCTTGGCTCACTGCAACCTCCGCCTCCCAGGTTCACGTGATTCTCCTGCCTCAGCCTCCCAAGTGGCTGGGATTACAAGCATGAGCCACCGCACCCGGCCTTCCAAGTGCCTTTCTGATGCCTCAGCCACACTGGTACCTCCCTAGGACCTCCCTGTGATCTGCCAACTAAATGGGTAGCACCTTTTAGAGCTGGGGTGTTCCAGCACTCTAGCCAGCATGCTATGCTGTCCCAATGGTTAAGTATTTTCAAATCACTTCTGCTGTATCC